TCTTCCTCTCTCTTCACCCTTGACTTTTCTTTTATTTCCCCTATATTTTCTCTATTACATATAAGTTTACTTCCATACAAAAGACACCCCTTTTATTCTCTTGACCTGACTGTTTTTCTCATCCCCATTGCTACATTCGAGCTGAGTTCGGCGCCAAAGATACCCTTCATTTATCTTACTCCATGGCTTTTCCTCATCTTGTTCATCATTTCTAAACTCAGTTCGGCAACGAAGACACCCTTCATTTATCTCGATTCCAACGGGTTTTCCACACTCTCTCTATAACTATCAAGTTCAATTTGACAACAGAAAGTCTCTCCACTCATCTCATTTGGGTATTTAACAAATCCCCAATGGCTCAGTTATATCATGCCCCAGGTTCTCTAGGCCCCCCTGCAGAAATGATCGACCCCGATTGGAATATCTTTAAGCAGTTTTCTGACGAAAATCAATTTTTCTTTCTACACCATCAGCGACACTCCCTAAGAAGATTAATTAAGATGGGAGCCTTGAAAGTAGGAGATGGATTTAACATTCATGTGAATGAACAGGGACTTATCAGCGCCGTCGAGTGCAGACCAATGACAGTGGATGAACTGAGCCTTCCTCCACCAGAGATATTTTCGGGCATTGGAGGACTAGAGAGAATTGAGAAGAAAGCGCTCGACGAGAGCTTATTTGAAGCAGAAGAGGAGCCAGATGGACCGTCTCCGGTGGCAATCTTGATTATGAAAAAGTTGGCTGATGCTCCTCCTATGATGTGCTTGAGCTGGAAAAAGATGCTTACGGAATTAAACAATACCCCATCGGATTTACACACCATAAGCGCACTGGTAGAGTGGCTGAACAAATCCCTGCGAGAAGAAGAGACCCATTGGAGCATCCTTGAGTCATTTGGAAATACCTTGACAATGACTATGCTGGCAATCGTCGATTTTAGCCGAATCCTTGATAGTATTTGCATTCTATCAGGAGTAGACTCAGGAGATAAACCTCCAATTGAAGCTATGCAAGAATGTTTCATGTTTTTCGCTTACGATTGTACTGGATTGCAGAGTATGCAGGAGAGGCTGAGAGATGCCTATCTGGGGCGTGCCATTCAAAGCGGAGGTGCTACCATTCTCAAGAGGTTCAAAAAGGAATGGAAGCTTATCATTGAAGAACTAAAACCTGGAAGGATAGGGGTAGAGATGAGACAGTATCTCGGAATGCTGGGAGAGGATTTTGGCCCTGTACCAGAGAATTCTCTCTTCCACACTGGAGAGTCTGTCCCTGGGGACACCATCTCTGAGGATGCTAACACCCAAGACGCCGAATCTCAAAAGTCCGACTCTCAAGATTTTAATTCTCAAGACTCTGACTCTGAATACGCCAACTCTGAAGACGCCAACTCTGAAGACGCTGACTCTGAAGACGCTGACTCTGAAGACGCTGACTCTGAAGACGCTGCCTTTGAAGATACTAATTCTCAAGCTTCTGGAACTAATACTCAAGAGTCACCCTCAATAGAGTCGCTTGCCTCTCGAGAATCTGGGTTTTTCACAGATTTTCAAGAGTTAGTATCTCCTCCTATCTGGTCAGACTATAGTGACTATGTCCCGTCTTCTGGAATGATGTTTATTGGGTCCCCCCCAATAAATTTACAATCTTCTGACACCAATACTCAAGAGTCACCCTCCACGGAGTCGCTTGCCTCTCGAGATTTCGAGTCTTTCCCAGCTTTTCAAGAGTTACGAACTCCTCCTGGCATATCAGGCAATGTCCCTGCTGAACTGATGTTTATTGAGCCCCTTAGCCCAATAACTTGGCGATCTACTAAGCGGAAGCGCGATGATAGCGAAGACACCGACGACGAAGAAGACTCCTGAGGGAAAAAAGAAAGGCAGCTTTCCAGAAAAAATACAAAAAAAGGTTAAGAAAGTGCGATGGAAGAAAAGGGCGCCTTTATGGTTTTACTCTTGTTCTATTACGAGACAGAGAGAGCCTTGGATTACTGCAATATCTTTGCTTGAGATGCTTATCTTGCTGGGCATGCTACCATTATCCATCAAAAAATGCATTTAGGGATTATCAACTGGGAGGGACATTTTCAAGCGTTAGCTGCATTTCTATGCATAAAATAAAGGACGCGTCATTACGAAGAGCATATTTCATTGGACGCAGAAATGATATCTTAGGAATTGGAGATTTACTTTTCTTTATTAGTCGCAGACGTATCTGGTCCCTCTGCCGTCAGGGGCGTTGAGGATGAGTTTTTACTATGGCAAATAGCTATCTATTTTCTGCTATAAAAGCACTTATAAGTACCAAAGATACACGATTATTAATTTGCTGCTCTAGGCACTCTTTTTTTTTTTGTTACTTGAGTTAATAAATTTATTATAACATATGGGGTTTACGGTAAACATGGTCTTTCACATGAAGGAAGACCCAGAACTTGTATATATCATTCATGATTAGTTTCCCATTTTCTTTCTTATTAATCATGATTTCTCCTCTTCTTGTGCCTTTTTAGCATACCAGCCTCACCGGATTGATCACATGCAAATGGTCTTTCCCCGAAATGGATCATAGCTATATGTTGTTTGAGGTTTCATGCTCTGTTGATCTCTGTGCCACATTCAAGACAGACGTTATATTTATTCCAGTAGAGTTTATTGGCACTAGCTTGTTCAGCATTACTATGCTCAGTACCGGCTTGAGCATTGGCATTCTCATAGTTGCATGCGTTCACTGAATATTCTCCGAGGTTAGAGCTGTGGTTTTCTTTGCAGTGACGCAAAAGCAAAACGATACTTGAAAAAGATTCTTTACAGCAAAAGGCATTGTTGTTGGATAATTTTTTGATGAGATTCCATGTTAAACCAATGCTCAATAGGTATAAGCGGCATATGTAAAGATAATTGAGGCGGCATTGGTACAATATCACAGACCTGGCTTGAGTTCCAAACGTGATAGCCAATCCCCCGATCTACTCTGCAAAGGAGTGGTGTAGCGAATATGGTGCAAGACTGAATGGGTCCAGTGCCAATCAGCAACTGCATAGTTCATGGCAAAGTTTGTAAACCCCGTATCAAGTTCGACTGCCCGTAAAGAGATCAATATGCCGGAGAGGATTAATTGCCTCGCCATTAGTCGGTAGAAAACCAAGCAACACTGCGATTCCGTGATTAGAGCCTTTGCACAAACACATTCTCAAAGCATGGCGAACTTATGGTATCATGGGGAGGTCCCATCGTTCCAACATAGAAGACCACACGACTTCAGACTCCTGCTGCTAGATTGGCTTTCTTGAAATTAGTGATTTTGTTGCTGAAATAAGCGGCCATCCAATAAACCATTGTAGTCTCGTTGAGATCAGTCTCCCCATGTCCTGCTGCCTCTGCATGTCGGTTACACTGATCTTTGAGAGCACGTTTTAAACGACGACCAAAGGCAGTGACTGCGTTCCAATCACATAGAACGACTGGCGATATTTTCTCGATGCGAGGTTTAATCAAGTGGACGTAGAAAATAATATAAAATTGTTTATTTATATCACTTTCTACTACATCTACTACATCTACTACATCTACTACATCTACTACATCTACTACATCTACTACATCTACTACATCTACTACATCTAC